CTTTATTTATATAGTACATTTCAATCAGCTGACAAAGTACTACACGAAGAGGAGGAATAAGAAAGATGCCAAAGTGATAAAGTTGTAAACATTGTTGGTAAACTTTCTGAAATTGTTGAAATTTCCTTCTTGTGTCTTATGGTCGTCTCACTCGAACTATTGCTACACTGCCCCCTGATGGTATGCGGTGGTACTGCTCTGTTTCGTACGTATCCGTAAACTTTCAGAAGACGTGCAGAGTCTGATGAGATGAACGGACTGAAGGTTCCTTCCTCCGTATACGTATCTAACGTTGAGTGTGATTGAGCCAAACATGTCGACATCATGTGACTTATGTCAGAATCCACATATCTGAAATCCGTTATCGATTATTCAGAGTATTAATCTGGTGTCCATGGAAACGTATCTGCAGCTTCTCCTCATTTACAATAAAATCCTTTCTCTGAAGCTCAGACCTCCACTGGTTTCACTTTCCAATGTTTCCTGAAGGGTTTTTCCACGTGTGTGTGGCTGACAAGAAAACCTCTTCAATTCTAATTTCATCAGTCTCTTTCGGACTAAATGAGACGCGGCTCATTCCCCCTCGTAGAAACACCTCACGCCCAGGCGCCAGGACTCTGCTGCATGACCTCACTTCCTGTCCTCGTCTTGCTTGTCAGTCACACTGACGAAATGTACATTTAATGCTTCGTCAGCGTTTCTTCTGTCTGAGATAATCCAACACTTAACTCGAATAGAAACACTTTGTCAACCAGATGATATTTTTTAATGTCCATCACCTTGTTTGTTTGTAAACAGGATTTCACAAAATGGTCCTTTGCAGAAACTTAAAACCTGAAATAGTTTCTTTTCTTTCTAGTTTGGCAAAAGCCTCAACTATTTTACTCTCGACATGTGAACCCAGGTCGTGTGTCATCAGTCGTTGGTAACTGTCTGTTAGTCTGATGGTTACTGTAGTTGGTTCTCTGAGATTTCACACATTTTATGACTGCACAGAAAACAACACGAAGTCTGTGTAACCGACCGTTTGTTGTGTCAAGACCTTTTTTTATGGAATTCAAAACTGCAGCTTTGTTGCATCTGTGTTTTCCCTAAAGCTGCTTTCAGACCTGCACTGAACTCCTGATAATCTCCTGAAGTTCTCAGGAGGTGCTGTTTGTGACAACATAAGCCATTTTCAGACATGAACTCCCGATCATGTCCACAGAATTGGGTCTGGACTTTCTCTGGAGTCTGGAGAATGTTCGGAGTCTCTCACTCAGAAATGATGTCAGGAGATTATCAGGATTTCAGTGGGCAGGACTCTGGACGAGAGTAGAAATCAGTAGTCCGAGTTTGTTTCAGCTTAAGTTTGCTTTATTTGAAACACAGGAACTTTCAGCTCATAATAAATCCACAGACGCAACAGTTTCCATGAAAGCTTCTTTGGATCTGATGGTTTCTGACGCAGGCTGCAACCTGACGCTTTCAGGAAACTTCCAATACGCCGCCTGGAGCCTGTGCGCGCTGCGTTCAGGTACAAGCATCAGAACCATCACCTGCGTCCCCTCGTTGACCATTAAAACTTTCGATTATGATAAAGGCCGTGGATGACTTGAGGTTCAGCAGCAAGCTGACATTCAGTGTTTAATGAGCGAGTGGGAGACCCCTCAGCCTCTTCTATGAAGTTTGGTGATTTAAAGGAAACTGCACAACCACAATTTCACACCTTGATCATTGCTGCATCACACATTGTCTCACTCTCTCCCTCCCCTGTGTGTCTGTGTCTCTGCCTCGCCCTCGCTCTGAGTTATAAATAAGCTTACACACAAGCTTTCAGGACATCTCAAACACTTTGAGGCAACTTCAGGGCGACTGTCACTCAGTCACAACATCAGTCAGAAAAGTCTCTGGCATCAGTCTGAAAGCCGGCACTCGCACCAGGCAGGACTTTGGAATTGCACCGTCGACTACAAGCGGCGATATGATGGTTTCCACGGCGAGGGCAGTGGTCTGTCTGTCCCTGTGTCTTTGTGTGTGTCAGGTCAGAGGATCACACATCCCTGCAAGGATGAACAAAACCATCCAGAACCTCCTGCAGCACTATGTGAGTACTAAGAGTTTCGATTACTGAGAGTACTAAGAGTTCAGAGTACCGAGAGTACTCAGAGTTCAGATTACTGAGAGTACTAAGAGTTTATAGTACTGAGAGTACTCAGAGTTCAGATTACTGAGAGTTCTTAGAGTTCAGATTACTGAGAGTACCAAGAGTTCAGAGTACTGAGATCACCCAGAGTACTGCTGAAACTTGTGTTTAACTCTGTGGTTCAAACTTTCAGTTTCCTCCTCTTGCTGCTTTCTCGCCGCAAACACACACATGCACACACATTTCTTAACTTTGTACTAGTTTTATCTTTAAAGGATTCTGATGTGTTTTTTTATTAAACTCATCATACAAATTAAAAAGTTAATTTCAGCAGGGTCACTCTGCCTGATGCATTCAGGGACCCTCTGACCGATTGCATCTTTTTTAATGCAAGAAGCAAACAAATGCAACTTATATGCAAACATATTGTTGGAAGGTTTTATATAAAATGGCAGGAAACTGAGAAACAGAGCTCATTAACAACAACTGACTCTCAAGTCTCAGATGTCTGACTGTCCTTGAATGCACCTTTGCAGAAAGTGTAAACATTCACACTCTTTAAATTCTGAATGAAATTCTGTGACTCATTAGTTCACGTCACATGTGACCTGACAAATATTTCACACATCTTTTCTTTTCCTTCTTCAGAATATTTCAAACAAAGACAGATTCAACGGGAAGCCCGTCTTCCCCAAGGAGCCGCTGTCCGGCAGGATGGAGGTAAACAAAGTCACCGTCTTTCACTTCGGTCTGAAAACATCCAACGAACCTGACTAATGACAAAGTCTGTAAACTCCTACAGCCTTTAACGTATCAGGGTGCCCCCCCCCCCCCCTTCTATTGACCGTGTGAGTTAGTGATCAAGATGCTGGACTGACGTTGATGAGTCATCACCTTTAATAATGATGAACTTTAATGTCATTGATGTTAACGATGGTGAAGAGATTCAGATTGTTGCTGTTGAGCGACGTCTCCAGGATTTCAGACTCTTTGAATCTTCAGATTTAATTTTACGGCGAAGTGACAGGACCGTGCTGACCTCCGACCTCTGTTGTGTTCTTGCATCCAGTTAATCTTCAGACCTTAACTGAAGGTTTAAAGTGTGACGTTAAAGAGTGACTTGTTCCTTCAGACCCACTCTGCTGGTTTTATCCCCTGTGTGGGGAAACCACAATGTGTTTCCACTGTGTGAAACTCTGTCAAACACAGCAGCTGGTTTATTAACCACAAAGGTCAAATTTAGATTTTATGCTCCACGTTTCCATTCAGAATTTGTTTGTTTTAATTTCTCTCTAAAGTTTTAATGGACTTGAAATCACATTCAGGAAAAGATTCACAGCAGTTTTTAAAATCCTCCTCCAGAGACCGTGTTTCTCATCTACTTCTCTCGTCATACAGACAAAGATGCTGTTCATGGGCGGCGTTTTGGAGACGTATGAAAAGCTGATAGGCCAGATGTTGGAGCAGCTGCCGAACACGACTCCCCCCACAGCCGGGAGCAGAGAGGGCCTCAACTCCGCTGCCCCGGAGGTCAGCGTCAGGACGGACCTGAATTACATTCTGAAGAAAGTCCAGGAGCTGAGGACAAATCGCTTCAAGGAGCAGAGCAAACTGCTGCAGGGGCTGCACGACCTCGGAGACATCAAGGTAGAGACATGAGACGCTTTCACACGTGACCTCCGGAGGATGTCCACAGTATCAAGTCTGGACTTTCTCCGGAGTTTTTCTTTCACACATGAACGACACCAGCAGGAGATTTCTCGCTCAGACAGAAATCTCGGGACCGAGGGGCGGAGCAGGAGGCACAACGTAACGTTTGAATCCCGCGGTGGAGATCGTGTTTTTGTCTTGTCACCAAAAACTCTTTCGAAGTCTTCGTCCCCACATCCACGTGTGTGGCTCCAATTTTTTAATCCTGAGATATTTGATTCGTTTTTATTTGTCTATTTATTTTCGCGTGTGTCCCGTGTTAGAAACGTCATCAACACGCCTTCTCGCGGTGAATTTCCTGCTCCTCCAGACATTCGACAGAGGTTTTACCAGCCGGCAGGAAAGAGAAACCTCTAGATAATGTCTGGAGGATCTCAGGACGTCAGTGCAGGTCTGAAAGCAGCTCATATCCTCTCTGGGATTCACTGTCGACTCCTCTCGCCCAATCTCAGCTGGGATCGGCTTCAGCTCTGCGTCCCTTTGTGGATCAACAGTGTAGATAACAGATGAAGCTGAAAGTTTTACTGAAAGTGATATAGGACTTGTGGTTGTGTGGGAACTGTTCTTACCCCCATTTCTTTCTCCACCAGATGAATAACTTCATCATCCAGAGCAAAGCACTGTGGGAGCTGCAGTGGATGTACGAGGAGGCGAGTTCTCTGTCAAACAACACCAAGATGCAGAGGAGGCGGCGGCGGCGGCGGAGACAAGCTCGGAAGGTCAAAACTCCTACAAGAGCCTGAGACGCCAAGAAACTCACCATCGACCAAAAGCAAAAACAAAAACCAAAATGTAGGAAAGTTGAAATATCATGTTTTTCTGTTCTGTTTCATCAATGAGAACATTTCATGGATCTAATCACAATGAACCAGCAGTCTAAGCCTTTTGGAAGTATTGAAGTTTAATGTATTTTTTAAGGTAGTTTGATGTTTTTATACTTGAAAGTAACGTGAGGAGTTTATGGGTCCAAAGACTTAAACTCAGTTTTAACCTGGAAACACTTGATTCCCTGATTATCGATGCTCTTTTGTATTTTACCGACATGTTGTAGTTTTCTATATTTATTTTCATATTTAAAGTCTATATTTAATACTGAATCTTTATGACTGACAGTTGATTTATTTATTGTGTATTTATTGATTGGCACATGCAAGAAAAATGCAACTGAATAAAACAGAGTGAACCTGATCTCCACTGTTTTACTGTCGTCTGCTTCTCACCGTGTTTTTCGGGACTTTTAGGACTTTGTTGTCGTCGCTGTTAAACTTTAACCTCGAGTCCTCGATCGCACTGAGATCACGTTGCTGTTAAAATAACAGATTCTGTTAGAAATGACAATTATAAACAGATAAAAGGACGATTCAATGAAAGAGTTATGGTGGAAGAATGGTGAGGGGTGTTCAGCTGCAACACGACACTTCACCTCCAGATCTCAATAAATTCTACGCACTGCACCTTTAAGTTAAATGGTCACAAAACATATGAATTCATCAAAGAGAGAAATGACGATGAAGCAGCGTCTTCAGATGACAGGCGCTCTGTTGCTGCTCGGCCCGGCTGCTCGGGTTATTTCTGCAGAATACCCCAACCCACAGCAGCGACATCACTTCCTGTGACATCACTTCTGGTAAACAGCAGGTAGTCGTCTTTTACAGTAACTCACAGCCCTTACCCACAATGCACTGAGGCCTTTATGAGAGTGTGTGAGACGCTGCAACTTCTAAGAACCTGAGCTGTGTTTCCCCACCGCATGTGTGCATGTGTGTGCATGTGCATGTGTGTGAGTGTGTGCATGTGTGTGCATGTGTGTGTGTGCACATGGAGGTTGACTTCAGTCATGAGCAGAGTTTGAAAGAGGGAAGAACTTTTCTAACATTGTGAGATCAGGATGTTTTCCTCTCCTGCTGTTTGTCCTTCACTCCCTCTGCACAACACCTTCATCAGGCAGAGGAGTGGGTTCAGTGGCAGAGGCACATCAGACAATGGACACATCTCTTTGCACAACTTCCTGGACTCTGTCATTGCCATGTCTGATCTATCTATCTATCTATCTATCTATCTATCTACCTATCTATCTATCTACTTATCTATCTATCTATCT